CCGCGTAGATCTCCTTGATCGTGTTGCTCGTGCCCGACACCGCGTGGGCCCGGACCCAGGCCACGACCTCGTCGCGCGCGTCGCGCGCGTCGTCGTCCTGGACGGGCAGCTCGGGCAGTTCGACGGGCGCCTCGGCCTCGTCGTCGACGGGCGCCTCGCCGTGCGCCTTGAGCGCGTCGCGCGCGTCGCGCGCGTCGTCCTTGGGCTCGGGGGGCGGCGGCAACGCGCGGCCGCGGGCTTCCTCGGCCGCGCGCCGCTCGGCCTCGAGCCGCGCGACCTCGGCGGCGGGGCGCTCCGCCCCCGCCGCGGCGGGCGGCGCGGCCGGGGCCGCGAGCGTGTGCCAGAGTCGGCTCGCGGCGTTGTAGCGCTCGAGCCGCACGTCGCCCGCGCCGGGCGGCGGCGCCTCGGCCGCCGCCTCGCGCGCGGCCGCGGCCTCGGCGTGGAAGCGCGCGACGCTCGCGGCGGCGGCCTCGGCCGCGAGCGTCGCGATCCCCGCCATACCACGGCGTTGCTGTCGGCGGTCAGCGGAGCCGTGTTTGAATATCCTAAACCCAAAAAGTCATCGTGACCGATCACTAAACCCAGGAGGTCCGTTCGCCGGTCACTAAACCCAGAAACGCAGTTCCCGGCACTAAACCCAGAAAAATAGGCCACTAATCCCAGAAAAATATTTTCTCTGGACCCTCCGCAACCCGCAGCGCGTAAAAAAAAAATGAAAAAAAAAGTGACCATGGCCCAAGAGGCCAAAATTAACTTCGGGTTGCTTATAAAATTTTATGCTTAACCACGATCTTTGATCTTAGTTAGGAGGAACTCGCTGACATGCGCGCGTTGCTCCTTGCCTATGCGGGCGTCGTCACAGCGTTTGTGCAGCCTCGTTTAATTGCTCTTTCGGCGTCGTCGCTTATAAAGTCATCCCCGATCGCGCGCTCGGGGATTAAGTTGTCCGCTGCGCCGACTATGATGCCATCGCCGGATGACCCTCCCGAGGTGACTGTCTTCGCGCGACTTATATCTGCGTGACATCACTTCCGTTAGGTGGACCCGCGACGACGGGATCCTGAAAAACCGAGCATCCCACCTGTGCGAATGCCTATGGTGGACACAGGCGATGGCCAGATGGACGTAATATCCCGTCTCCTCCGGGACCGAATTCTACTCTTGGGACGGGGCGTCGATGACGAGGTTGCGAACGTGCTCGTCGCACAGCTGCTCTACCTCGCGAATGATGACCCTACAAAAGATATCACCCTGTACATCAACTCGCCAGGCGGGTCTGTGAGCGCGGGAATGGCCATCTACGACACGATGCAGTTTGTACCATGCGATGTCAGCACCGTTTGCTTTGGCACCGCCGCGTCCATGGGGGCATTCCTACTCGGTGCCGGTGCCAAGGGTAAGCGCCGATCGCTGCCGAACAGCCGCATCATGATCCATCAACCTCTTGGTGGCGCGCAGGGGCAGGCCGCAGACATTGAGATTCAGGCAAAGGAGATCCTGTTTGTGCGCCAGCAGCTAAATACTTTCATCTCAGAGTATACCGGGCAGCCTATGGATAAAATAGAAGAGGACTGCGACAGGGACTTCTTCATGTGTCCTGAAGAGGCTCTTTCCTATGGGTTGATCGACGAAGTTGTCAAGACCAAGACGTCCCATATTGCCATGCCGCCGATGCCTGAGCTGGCATTCTAAAGCCCTGCCATCTTCTGATCACTGACGCGGCCGTGTTTGGTTACAGCGGCGAATCAAAATTATGGTGCTGCCTTAGCCCACATAGCTCCTACCATGAGCTCCCGGCCGTGGGTCGGGCCCAGACGGTTGTAGTGGCAGAATTAAGCGAGAGTTGACTTTTATAGAAAAGTTACCTTGT